TTTAAACGCTAAAGCAAGAGGGAACTATTTACTTTTATTTCTCCTAATTGCTGTATTTCCAACTGTGTTATCCGTTTTTCTTCCACACTTAATTATAGTAATAGTAACAATCTGCTTGCTGTACTTGCTGCATCATGTAGTTTCATCTATACAGTTACTGCTACCCTGAATTGATAGTGCTACTTTAGACTTAAAAATATGCTAAAATTAGTACGAATTACTAACTTTAAAAATTTGGAAATGTTTCTTAGGCTCAGATGGTAACATTTTGAGTCACTTCAAACAATGCTCTTAATTGGAGCTTATAAAAACATTTTCAATTTGCTTGTTTTTGAGTGTTACGAACTTGTTGGTTAATATATCATTTCATAAACAGTAAATAAATTGTCTTTTTTTGAATGAGACTGCAAGATTTTCCAAAAGAAGGACTGGCGTTTACATTGACAAGGAGTGTTGAGGGAGTTAAAAATCTTCTGTCAGCAGTTTCTAAATTTCTTTGGATTCTATAACTACCTAGGCTTTCCTTGAAGTCTCTCAAGCTAGTATGAGCCAAAACTAAAGTAAATACTTGGAATTTTTTGAAGCACTTGTTTTGCTTCTTTTTCTGTTTTTTATTTTAAATAATTTTTATCGATTTTTTTTACAGGTTTTAATACCTTAAAAGCAGCAGTTCTGCATATGACATTTAAAAGCTCTGTTTATAGTTATAGTAATCTGCTAGAACAAACTTTTTTTACTACACTATTATCGTTTTTATCATTTAGATAGCGAACATAGGGGATGTATTAGATTTTGGTGAATTTTTCGCTGTTTAAACATTCTGGTGCTTATTTGTGCTTATTGGCAGCAACTTCAAGACTGATTTTAACACAACAGTAGATAGTGGTTTTTGGCTTTGGTTGAATACCTAAGTTTCTTTTGAGTCGGAAGCATCAAAAAACAGAAGGACATATGTTCACTTTAATTTGCATTATTTGAAGACGTTTTTGTCAAAGTTTATTAAATGCCTAAAAAATGTAGGATTTTATACAAGCATTGATGTCATAAACCTTATGCAACAAAAAAAACAGCAGTTTTTAATCTCAATATACTGTTTCTGATTTATTTTTGAAAAAAGAAATAAAAGTTTATTTGAGCGATTACTTTAAGATCATTGTCAATATTCAGTTCTTATAAAAAGTGTAAGTTGGAGAAAAAAACCGGCTTTTTTTTCTGTCTTGTGATACTAAAAAATTTTTTTGTGTTTTAAACTTGGCGAATTAATTTGACATTAGTTTTGTCTTCATATGGGGTAACATTTTTTTCTTCTGAACTGCTGCCTATATACTGCCGTCCTCAGTTGTTTACTTCATCTTAAATCACTTATTATCGACAGAAATTTTTACATAAGATTATCAGGTTGCTGTTTTAGCTTAAGTGAAATTGTAAAAGACTTATAAATATATTACGATCAATTTTTTCATTTCAATAAATTTATTTTGGCAGATATAATTTTTTGAATTTTCAAAAACACAGTCAAAAATATTTTGACAAATTTTTGTTACCACTAGTTGTATTATTCAAAAAAAAAAAAAAGATACTTAGTGTAACTGTAGTTTTATTGGTTTGTTGAATTTTTCGACTGATAATAATGGGACGAAGTATTACTGTTTGAAAATAAAATCAAATTGTTTTTGGTGACCGTAACTTCCCATTTATTATCGTTTAGAACATTGGGTTTGATGAATTTTTTGCGCAGTTTTTTTACCAATATAAAATTGTTGTTGTAACTTTTTTTTCTTAATTTTACTTTTTTTCTTTTCTACTAAAATCGATTGTCTTTTTCATTTACTACTTTTTTTGCTGATAATTGTTCATCATTTTGAAATGTAATTATTTAGTGAATTTGAGGAAACTCTTCTCTCTTTTTTTTTTTTGTTTTTTTTGTCAACTTACTGATAGTGATTTAACTGGTGAAGGAGAAAACTGAGGATTGGTGGACCAGAATATGGTAAATAGCAGGAAGTTTTGTTGGATTAAATAGTCTTGGTAATAATTTAACTTTTTGTAGATGCTGAACAGGAATTTAATGTCTGCTATAACTGCATCCTTCAAATGTTGGAAATTTAAATTACTTTTGAGAAAGTAAATTTTTTGATGTACTTTTTTTTAACAGTATATTTATAACAATGTAGTTATATTCTCGTATAACTTTTAATCAAAATTATCGTTTATTCTATCAAAATGAACGTTTTTTATACAGATTATACCAGGCATCTGAAGAAAGAAGCCATACTACCGCTTCGTCTTTGCTATTTGTATTCAAAAAATTTAAGGGGAAGTTTTTTTTGTAGTTTAGAGCCTTGGAAATTGTTTCCTGTCGCTGTATAACTGTAACTATTGGGTCATAATAAAATAAAATTAAATGAAAAATTCTCTTAAAAAGTGTAATAACAGCAGACTTATGGGTAACGTTGGGTTTTGGTCAGGACAACTTCTGGTTTTAACTTCAGTTTGCATGCAACAGTTAAAAGCTGACGGATTTAGGTTATTGTAACCTTTGCTGTCGTATCTATAAAAAAATACCAAGAGTTTTTTTTTTT